AGAACCCCAAAATAGAATTTGTTGGTGATGGTTCAGTCTGTTTTCTCTGAGGCAAATTTACTTTGTATGTGTGAAGTCTGCAGAGAAAGTTCAGGAATTTCATTCCTTCCATTTTCCATGGGGACTTTCCAAGGTCAAGTATGAAAGCCAAACCCAAGGCAACACACGTCATATGACCCCTCAGTTCAGTTCACTTCAAACTGGTGCAGGTACATGTAGCCATGTGGTCAGTGCACCGTACATTATACTCACCAAAGGACAGGAGGCAAAATCTGATAGGAAGAACAGCACTCTTAAAAAAAGGAAGAATACATTTAGCATCTTTTAGCCAACTTCACAACAAATCTTCACCTTTAATGGGTGGAAATTGGAATTGTACATGTATATCTCATGCATTGTACTCCGTAAATCTGTACAAGCGTGCATTGGGCTATTTTTGATGAAATGGCCGATGGACTTGTAATGGCATACCGGTAGATGTACTGTTATTGGCAGTGCTCGCCCAATATTGGGTATAAATACAAAGAGAGATGAGTTAAGAATATATTTATATGTATTTATGTATTTCCCAAGCATTACACTGCCCAAACCAGATTGGTCTATTGGCAGTAGACTTGTAACATTAATGACCTCATGCTTTGGTTACATGTGTGCTTTCCTATGGCAGTGAGGTGAGAAGCGATCTATCGAGTCCCCATAGGAAAATGCACATGTAAGCAAAGCGCGCCGTCATTTTGTTTTAGGTCTTCTTGCAAAGGAGAGAATGGAATAACGGGTACATACTGCTGTTTCTTGGAGTAGTGTTTCAAATAAACCACTACTGACTTGGGAAAGCATTCTGTATTGGAAAAATTGGCATGCTTTTATCTCGCAGTGCATGGGCATCCCTTTGGTGGGTCACCGCATGGGTGCACTGGTTCGTGCATACCTGACACTTGGATTGCACTTGGATTGCGACCAATTTCTGTTATTGTGTACAATCACAGAGCCATGACACACAATACAGGGTACATTCTGTGCACGTTCTTGTCTTGTTGAAAACTTCCCACCAGCCCGTCTTTTCTTTGCCAATCAGTCTCCTCTTTTGGCATTTGTGAAGATTTGTTTTGGGGGGGATAAAATATTCTTACATGCACTGGTATATGTAGATAGGAGAGCGTACCACATCCATAGTGAGGCACTTTTTGCCTCTGGCTCGATGCCAAAGACTACATTGGTCCATGGTGAGATGGAATCCAGACAAGGAATAGGAAAGCAATTACTTTGACCTGGACTGACATTTTTCAGGCATAAAATGTACTGATGTGTGACTTGGTGCACAAAGTTATGTACATGTACCGGTAGGCCTAAATGTACATGTACGTGATATGTACTACATGTATGTACAATACTGAACATGCATGTACATGTATTCATTTACATTATGATCTATGTACATGTAAAAGTAACACTGTATCATGCATGCACAATGTTTGAGGTACAGTAGTTTTTTTTCCCCACGATGAACCAGTTTGGCACTACCGGTACATATGCACACTAACAGTACTTAGAAATTTGTTCACTTCATGTCGTTTATGTAATTTTGCCAGGTACTACATGAGTCTGTGGTTTGGTATGAATACAGGTAAAGAAAACCATGTTGAAACAGTGGCCTGTACTTATGCAAAAATATTTGCAGGTGCCGTTTCGTATACCATAGAAATGGTCTTGGAGGATATTATTCCCTGGTGAACTTATCCCGAGGGTGGTGTTATTTACACCAAAATTTGAACTGCTTAAAGCAAGAAAATACAAGTACATGTACAGTGCTTTGCAGTGTTTACAAATGCTGAGCCTCTCGGTGGTCTCACTCAGTTTGGCAAGAATTGTCTGACATTCCTTACTGCATCATTGCTTACACTACATACGTTTCTTACACTACGAGAAAGTGTCACAGAGAAGTATTTGCTACAATGGCCCACGCTGGTACCCGGACACTCTACAACTCATCATCTATGGACTACCGGTATTTCCAGCCCTGTAATTAAAACACAATGGGAGTCACTCAAACGTTTGGATGATTAAAGTCATCCACGACTGAATACAGGACTGCCTGGATGTGTTTAAACATTTGCCCACGTACCGTGCCGGTATCTGGCTCAGAAAGCCCCTCACTCAGCCTAAAGAGATCAATGAATTTCATTCTGAGTTAAATAGCAACTGGTGCACACTACCTTGTTTGTGACGTGTCAACAAACTAGATTTTTTTTTTTTTTGCTTACGAACAAAGGGTCAGGCAGAACATTTATCAGAGGGACAACTCATATTGCACCCAAGACACCACTCATCCAGTTCATCAAATTGACCCTTGCTTCTCGATTTCATTCCATTCCTATTTGCACCTCGGGACAAAAAACAGAGTTTATCTTATCGTATCCCAAATACCAAGACCACGGAGGCATTCCTTGCGTGCGTACTTGCCAGAAATATCCCTCTTGTTGGGAGTGTCAAGTTAAACTGAATATGAAGCACTCTGAGTTTTCTTGGAGCCTGCGGCAGTTTGTGACAGTCTTTGTTCGAGGTACATATATGTATGGACCGCATGTGATCCAATGTGCTGTTCTCACCTGCTCTCAGTTTTTGGTCTAAGGTAAGTGTGCACTTGCAACATGTACCGTACATGTACATCTACATGTGCATTTACCGGTACATGTACTTGTGTGTACTGTATTCTTTTGAAGAAAGTGCTGTGAATAGACAGGCTATGGCATGGTGCCAGTACATGTTCCAGTGAATAAAGTTGTGGAGTTTGATTTTGGACTTTCGTTGCCATGTGCACAGAGTCTTGTATATGTTTCACGGTATTCAGTCTCCTTGCGGGATTACGCATGCAATATACAGGTAGATGTACTGATGCTTGGGTAGGCCTTCATGCCACTGAGGGAACAGTTTCTGTTAGGAAAGTCAGGACCTCGTTGTGGGGACCAAATTTGCCCTGATAACAGCTTTGGTTCCCATTGTACATGCAAGGGCATCAGTCCATTTGAAAATTGGGGGGAGGGGGGCATAGCCCTGATCAGAACAAATGCGGAGTATACGGTAGCTGCTCCGTGATGTGATCTGATACAATGTCTGGCTATTTCAGCCAGTTTTTTTTAACAAATGCCTTTGCAAGGTATACATTTTCATTTAGATTTTGGAAAAAAGTGAGGGGGACAATTGATATAGTATCCCCCACTTGGAAAAGTGGGGGGGGGGAAATGTCCCTCCGTCCCCCACCAATTGACGCAAATGTGTACATGTACTGTACAACATGTACTGTGTGTTTCATTATGTGTAGTCCCAACAGCTATGGAACAGCTGTGTACGTGTATGTGAGTGCAAATACGTGCATACATGTGTGTATGTTCAGCTGCCGAAACCAACCCATCCTTAAGTTTCAGTAGTGCTTGTTTTAATTACAGAACATGTGTGCACATGTGTACCTTCTGGTACCTCTACATGTACCAGTTGGTTTCTTTAGCTCATCAATCAAGTACAAGCAGTCCTCAACTTTAAGACGGTCAAAGAGCTGCCCGCTCTCTTGAGTGTGACCGGAGAGGGTTCATCCTGACCTTTGGGCTGTCTCCCTAGGGTCCCCACAATGTCGTCACTTCCTATGAAATCACATCCTGTCTGAATTTCACCCAATTCGCAAGGATCTTCAAGATGTCAGGTTTGCTGCCTTGAGTGATGGTTAGCCCAAGAAATGTCCAGACTTGAACCTTTCACATACATGCACCATTATGTGTGCACCGTAATATTTGTCAGCTTGGACGGACTCAACAAGTGGGTGCGGATGTGTTGAGCATCTTTATTTTCCAGCACCATATGTTTGGAATCAACTACAAATTGGTTGGTTCTCCTAGACTCTTTGTGTGCAAGGCAAAGTTTGGATTCCAAGATGGATTCTTCGTGGGACAGTGTACAGCTTCAGCATCGGATGTCACTAGCCTTGGACAGCGTATTTGGCATGCTACATGCAAGTGTCTTGAATTTCTCCTTTTATATCATTTGTGTTTCAGTATTTCAGAGCCAGGAAAAAAGTTACAGCCGGCTGAGAAGTAAATGACTTCTCATGTACGGAGGTGTCTTAACTGCACAAAATTTTAATTGAGTCTTTGAGTATCACATTACTGTCTGCTCTGTTTTGTCCAGCAATTCATTTGCAGAAACAAATTTGTCGCAAACAGTTTTGCAAAGTATTTTATAAATGCAGTTTTCCTTTTTGTTTAATAGTCCAGTCAGTGTTTGTATGCAGTAGTACAGTGAGATACAGGTGTGTTCAAACCATTCCTGTACTGTAGAGCATCAAGGCAATGTTTGATTTTTGTAAGATGGGATGTGGCTTTTTTTTTTTTTTTTTGCACTCCCGAAGGAACATGCTGGTGCAGTATCCCAAGGTGCCAGGCATGCTCATGTGGGTCCCATATGACAGGCACTGTAGCCAACAGTTGCTTTGTTGCGTTGTGCCAGCACATTTACCTGTACCTGCAAAGCCAACACTTAAGATGCGACTTGTGGCAACAATCCTGGCAAAATCATCTTGGGCCCCCCAACCCCGGGCGGCACCATCTGTGCTACAGCTGGAGATGAAAACATTGACCGGGGGAAGCGGAGGGCCTGGGTGGGGAGGGTGTGGCCACTGACACGTGGCCCAACAATTTTGGCCAAGATTTGTAGCTTCCATGTTACTGAACTTTAGTTTAACTTTTAGAATATTTGGCCTATATGTAAGTGGACGAATGGCATCTTTAGCTTTGCCAAGGCCATGGTTGGTCCCCTGAGGTACTGTACTAGTGTACATGCATGAACAAGAAGACGAAGACCACATCACAGCAGGCAGCATTTGTGGAGGGTATAAAGAGGCCAGAGTACAGATTCATCAGCAGGTTTTGCTTGTTTGCCATGCTTTTTTCCCTATTCAATGTCATCCCCTTTCTCTTTTTCATTTCTTCTCACCTTCTCCCCCTTCCCTTCAGGTCAAGCGCTACATGGAGATGATCCCCATTGAGAATCAGCCTGTGGAGGGCACAGAGGGGGCCCAGCGCCGGGCCCAGCAGATGCAGAAGCAGCTGCCGGACCATGACCAGCAGCCCGAGCTGTGCCAGCAGCTCAACACCGAGGAGGCCGAGAGGATGCTAGACTTTGTCAAGGACTACAAGGAGAAGGCCGTGGGCATTGGACAGGTACGGGTGTGTCCATGTTTCCATTTCACTGAAGTGAAACGGGAAGTGAAGAGTTTGGTTGAATCATGCCAATGATCTGGCTTTGGGTAGTTTATAGGGGTCGAGGAGTTGAGTGTTCCGGTTAGGAAGGCTATGAAGATAAACCCTTCCTGTTTACAGTTCGCTTGGCCCCTTGCACATCTTACAGGGCACAGTGGATGGGCTAACATCCTTCAGAAAATTTTGCAAAGGAAGTGCTTTGTTGCAAAGCCTTTTGGGATAAACTTACAACCGACACCTTAATGGGCATACATCCTGCTTTGCAGTAGTGCACGTGGGAGTTTTGACCTATAATATTGTTCTATTGACCTGTACTATAAATTCCATCGAGTGAGGCTTTGAAGAAGTCGCATCACAGAGCTCAAGGAAATTGCCCCATCCCACTAGCACCCTGAAAGGGCAATGGGTTCAAACGAAAATTTGGAGTGGCACTAGAAGGCGCTTTGCAAACAACTGCGTCCTGTGGAACTAACACATGATGCATATACAGTCCTATTTTACTGTGCCAGGGAGGAGAGGACATGATGCTTCCCATTTTTCATGCTGTGTACCTCTCTCCCACAGACTAGGCACAGGCACTAAGTACCGAGGACAAAACTTTGATCACTGAGGACAGGGGAAGGAAACGTGATTGTTATAGTAGGACAGGAAGAACTTACAGCTGTTGCTTTTTAAAAAAGGACAATTACATTCATTTTAAACTTTTTTTTAATCATTAATACGAGTATATTTTCTTCAGTTTGGTTTAAGGTACAGTATTTCTTAGTGTGTAAAAAAGCATGTGTATATGTTGTGTTAATATCTTGGCAAGCGTTATGGTTTATGGTACTGGAATGCTGCCTCTTGAATATACATGTACCTGCCTGACATGCACTGCTCCGTCTTTGTGCATTAGGCAAAGTGGTTTATCTAAGAGCTATTGAGTTACGATACGATGTACATGTATGTAAGCCATTCATGCACAAAGGAAATACGTGCATAACACAGTGCCTGTTTACTCAGTGACAGTTATCGGCTTTTGTGATGGTACTTTGGGAGCGTGCCGGGGTTCAACCGTAATTCCACGAGTCACATAGCTGAAAATCTCCCAGGCCTAGGCACAGTTTGTTTCAAGTGGATCTGGATCACGATCAGTGATCCGTCATTAGTTCGCTGACAACAGAACTTGCCTAATGGATAGAGTGAACCATCGATGGGATCTCTGATCGAGATCGGTTTGAAACAAACAGGCCCTTAGGGGTGTACTTCGTGTAATCACAATCAATCAATGCTACAGGGACTTTTTCCCTTTTTTTTCTATCTTTCAATGTTTGCTTTGCTGGGGTACAAGTATTTGTTGCCCTCATAAATTAAGCCCTCACCAACTCAACTCCCAGATGGTCATTTACGTGCATTTTTACTGGCAGTCAATTTCAATTCAACAAGAAAAGTGCCATTGCAGTGTACATTGCATACTCGGAATGCCGTTTGATTCTTGCTAAATAATACATGTCAAAGGTGCATTACCGCGTACTTCACATGTTCATGCAAGACAAATCCCAGGAGATGCCATTACTGTGGGTGCACTAGGTGTACATGTGTACTCCCTAGTGTGTTCTTAGTCCTAAAAGCGTTAACTGGATGGCCCTTTTTCCAATATCAGTGCAGTACATTTTTTTTTCGTGCACTGAGCCTCCAGGAGTTTTTGCAGTCACTTCTTACCGTCATTTTGACTCCAATTCTTTGAAAGTTGGATACGAACCGGTATACCATCTTGGCACAAAAATATGTACTATACCATTGACACGTGAGTGATCTTGAACTTCACACTGCGGTAACATTTATATTGAAAGTGAGAGTTTTTTACATGCGTGCCAAACTTGAAAAAGATCAGGTATGAACACGCGAGTTGTGGCTTTCACTCACAGTTTGTTATTAAGTGGAGGAATGCTTTCTAAATGAACTACGTAAATCCATACAGCTAAAGACATGTGTACTGGTGACGCATGTACTGGTGCTTGTACATTTGAAGGATTTGGTCTGTGTCTTCGACATGCTACGTGAAGGCTCTGCTAAAAAACAGCTACTATTTTGAATGTACCTTTTCCATGCTTGTGGCACAGGCACAGAGTTTTTGCCGCCACCCAGTGAGCAGAGGATCCTTGGTCACAGTGGGCAGTAAACTCACAACAAAGGTGGTGGCAGTCAGAAATTTGGAGTTCGGACAACATTGGCAACTCATATCACTGAAAACTTAATAGCTTGATGAGCAGTCCTCACCTTCCATGGTCGGTCAACTCTCTTCAAATCCTTCTTTACAGGAGGAACAGTTGTTAGAGGCAGATTATTACTTGCTAATTCTGTCAAATCTGTTTGAAAAGGAAGTGGGGGCTGCAGGTGTAATTGACATATTCAGATAAATCTCAGTTGTAATCTTCTTTAAGCTGCTGTGTATCCATTGTGAAGAACCAACTGACCTGTGGACAGCCGAAGGTTCTCCACCTCAAGAACTGTATTGACAGTTTCTGGAGGCACCTCTAGGAGAGAGATTCCAACTTCAAACAAATGTTCAGATGAAGACAAAATGAAAAGTTCGCTTTGGTTTAATACTTTTAATGATCATTTTTTTGGGCATATTTCTCTGCCCAGTCTACTGAAGTTTCAGACGGATTGATGAATTTTTTTTTTTAATAATTAAGAAAGGATTAAAGTTGAGAGGAAGTCAATTCCTGTAATGGCCCCTGGATAATTTTTAGTTCACCTGACACCTGAACTCTAAGAGTTCCGTCAGGTGCAAGAAGTTTTAGGCCAAATTCAACCATCTCCAACACTAGGAGCATTATGGATTGTGCTTGCAAACGATTGACTACATATGCAGTGTCGTCAAATCTTTTGGAATTTTTTCAACATCAAGTTTGTCTTTCGATAACAATTTCAAAAACCATTAGTCCTCAATGTCTGAGAGTTTCTCCAAGAATTGGTGGTTAAGCCAGTGGTTGAGGTTGAGGAGGCCAAGAGGTGACTGGTTCCAACCTCACCCACGTATGTTCATGTGCTAACTCTCAACTAAGTGGTGCACAAATGCATGGAAGTTAACATATATGGAGCTAACCAAGCTTCTGGAATTTTCTCTCCTTTTTTTGGTGAGCTCTTGGAAAGCACCATAACCATACAGTATTAGAAGTTAATGTAAGTTGGTGAAGAACAAAATCCGGTAGGGAAACTTAACATCACCCGCACAAACGTTCCATCCCAAGTTATTTTGGGGCTAGCCATGTGAGGAGCATTTTATGAATGACTTTCTCCATCAACATGTATAACATTTCGCTGCAGGGCACCAGTACCGAAAAATGTCATGATGACATTCACAGACATTCACCTCCTTCTAGGAGGGAACATTCACAGACTATTAGCACTGTAGGTTTAGTATTTAAGTAAATGCATATTACAAACCAACCTCTGGTCAACTAGTGTTTGAACATGCTTTTGTTTCATAACGAGGCTTGTCTTTCCTTTCACTTCATGCACAGGTGCAGCCTGTGGTCCCCCATAAGGTACCCCAGCTCCAGATGCAGAGTTTGTCCCTGGAGGAGTCCGCTCCTGCACCCCAGGGCCACCCAGGGGCACCAGACGGGGTCCAGGGCATGGATCATGAGCCAGAGAAGACCTCCGTAGGGGTGGGGGAAGACACAGTGCCGCCCAAGGCTGTCGGAGAGGCCAAATGGGTAGGTTGGTCAGCCGCAAGGCCCAGTCATGCCAGGGGGTGAGATTTGTCCGGCTCTTTCCAGATTTCTGGAAAAATAGATGCAGGACTTGTGGATTTTTTCTCCTTGGCATGGCATTGCCAGAACTAGAAGTGGTATTTTCCAAATTTTGCATGATAGTGAATGAAGGACTTGTGCAAGTTGACTTTTTGATAGCACGCGCACTCTTGTGTTGTTACTCCCGCTGGAATGCAATAGAATACTTCTGAATGGGGGACATATGGTATTAAACTGTAAGGACTCGGCACAGCTTTCTAACTCAACCTTGACTCCGTGGGCTGTGTGTGTGAGGCATGGTGGGAACCAATACAGCATGGCACCCATGGACCCATTGGAACGAGGTTGCTTTTAACCATGTTAACTGTACGAGTGCCATGCAGTACTGTACCGGCTGCGCTTACAGAAAACTCAGGTGCCACTTTGTTCATTACTTGTGGTTCTTTATTGTTGCTTTGATTGATCAAAATGGCTCTCCATTCCCCTAAAGTTATCAATCATGGTGATTTTTTCACTTCATAAAGGCTTGAAAAATCCATGGAAATTTTTGCGGCTCGAAAGTCAGGTGGGAAAAAAAGGCTTGGAAGGGGAAGACAAATATAATTGGAAATTAATCGGAAAAATCAACGAGCAAGGATACTGCAGAAGTGCAGGTACATGTGGTGCAAGAAATTGTTGAAATGGAGGATTGAGGGACATACGTAAGGAGGCATTTTTTCGCCAGTTTTTTCAGTTTCCTCAAATCTGACCCCTGGCCATGCTCAGCACAAGAGAAAGCGCAGTATTTTGCATCAAGAGGCATGCGTTTGCCAGAGTTTGAATGTAATTCCAAAGAAACAAGTCTTACCACATTTCTGGTTTACTGCACAGCTTATATTGCTGGCACTGTAACTTTGAGCATAATCCCTGGCTTCGTGGTGTGCGAGTACTCTGTCAATTCTGACAAGCGCTGCTAGTTCAACAAAGATATGGACAAATAAGAGGAACCACCCACACAGGGCTGGGTAGGAAGTAAAGCATCAGCATGGTGTTCTTGGAGGTAACAAGTCGCTCAACGTCACAGAGGGAAGCTAATATTGACCGTCTGCCTCAAACTGTGCATTGTGTTTTACTACACCTTGATCATTGAGCACAGGAAAATCGGACCAACATTTTGTGTGTGTACTCACAGCACACGTGCTTATTTGACCTACATGTATACATGGATCCTCATATGGGCGCCTGCTAATCGGCAAAAAAGTTAGGACAGACATTTGATGTTGAATGGAGCGGTGAGAATTAAGCTCCTACTCGTGAATATGCATAAGTGTGGTAATGAAGTTTACTCATTACTGGAACAGGGGAAATTGTTACTGTAAGTTCTACATTCCTAACAAATCTTAGCAATTGGCACAATGTGAAACCGTGCCAGCCATAACAAAAAAACCAATAAGTATTGTTGAAATTTAACCAATAGGGTACCAAATATAAATAGACCACTGATCCACATATCAAACTATGACACGACTTACGCTTCCCCTCCCGAGGCCTGATCTGTTTTCAAATTGGAAAGTCAACTGCAAAGCACCCTCATGAAATTCTGAAAGAATAAGTCGGCTAAACACGAATCACTTTAAATAACTTGGGTTGAAATTAATTCAGTTGCAGAGACTCTGAAAGAAATTCCCTTCCAATTATATTTGATCACTGCCTGATGAGTTGCAGAAATACATGTGACAGAAATTGTTTATGGCATATTAAATAAGATACCCATAGAAATAGAACAATGTGTCAAGTTTGACTTTCAGAGGGAGTGGTTCAAGTCACAGCAGAGCACACATGTCCGCCAACTTCATCTTGGTCGTGGTACTTGTATCTGTCAAGTAATTTCCTAATCAGATCATATTTTGCATATGAGAAGCCCCAAGGGACAGTTTTTTCCCAAGTTCTCTTGACACTCCTTAATTGGATCATTTCCTTCCACTTGTCTCCCATCCTTCCTCTTCCTCCCCACCCTCCTTGCCCTACGGACCCTGACATCTGCCTTGCAGAAGTGTTGCCGCTGCAACCAGGGCATGACAGGCGGTGACGTGGCTGTGTTTGCCGAGCGGGCTGGCAACGACAAGTGCTGGCACCCGGGCTGTTTCCGCTGCCGCACCTGCAACGAGCTGCTGGTGGATCTGATCTACTTTTACAAGGATGACGACATCTTCTGTGGCCGCCACTATGCCGACCTTCTGAAGCCCCGCTGTGCTGCCTGTGATGAGGTACTCACATAGAGAAATCTTCGGGGTGGGTGGCCATGGGGTCCATGGGCTTCCCCCAAGGAGTAAAAATGTGGAACTTCAGTTTCAGAAGATCAGTTTACAGTAATTTTTAAACTGTGTACCTTGATATTCATAATTAAGCTTCAAAAATCGAATTCCTTGTCCGAAAAAAGAGAGAGACGTACTTCAAAATTTTACAGTTGTGATCTCCATTTTACTGAAAGTAGGTCATGGATTTCCATCAGTTGGGGGCCACCAAAAAGTCTTGGCCTTTTTTGTCCAAAAGTGCATGAACCTTGTTCAGTTCTGTTGGATTTCAGCTGGTCGCATGCTTTACTGTAATTGGATTCTGTTCCATTCAGTAGGGTCAAGAGTCATTAGGTTAGGGAGGCTGAGGGAGGGAGATTACCTGCCTGGCAAACTTTGCCCAGTTTTGGTGAAAGACCAAAATCAACAAGGATTCGTGGACTTAACCTGATAAATTAGCATCAATCTGTTGGGTGAAATTGTGCCGTGATTCCATCAAGAGACAGTCTTCAAGCACATATCAGTGTGAACTCCCCTAAGTGTCCAGATGTGTTTGGGAACCAACTCGTCATGGGCTCAGTTGTAGCAGAACAAAAATATAAATCTGGCTCAAAAGTAGGATTTTCCATGCAAATCAAAAAGATCATTTTGAAGCAAGTTGCCTTCCCTGGCTCCCTTGCTAGTATTTAATCTTCCCCCATGTCTAATCCCCTTAATAAACCATGTTGGCTTTGCAGTTAAGCCAGGCAAGCAGTTGTTCCTTATCTTACACGTTACCAACTTCCCTCTCTCTTGCTCGCCTGCTATTCAGTGGGACAGATGCAGTACCCACATTACGGCTCGTTAATTCACCTCATGCCCTGTTGAATTTGCTCATTCCATTTTTGTTACACTCCATCCCCATGTATGTACCTGTTAGTACATGTATGCACAACTTGGAATTGCGCTACAATACCAAATGGCTATAATAGACTTAACCACAAAAAGAGTCATTCTTTTGTCGTCAAATATTGAAAGGAGATGATTGTATGACCACCTTCAAATCTCCTCCAGTGTAAGATGGTAGGCTTGCCTGCAAGTTCGTTAGCATTTTGAGAGCTGATGTTTAGTGTTTGCAAAGTTGCATTCCAAGGTACACATTACAGTATGTGCAGAGCACTTTTTATTTTGCGCCCTCCGAGGGAGGAGTTTTCTTACATTCACTTCAACATTTTGCAAGATACAGGTAAGTATCTTCAGCTGCGGTGTTGGGAAAATAAGACATGTACAGTTATTGAAGCTGTTTTGAAGATCAAAAGCACAGGGTTATTAAGAGAGAGTCTGAACATTGATTTTTGTTTTGGATACCCTCCCCCCCACAGCTGATCTTTTCAGAGAAGTACACTCTTGCCGAGGAGCTGAGCTGGCACATTGACCACTTCTGCTGCTGGAACTGCGACACTGTCCTGGGGGGCAGGCGCTATGTGGCCCGGGAGAGTCATCCCTACTGCTTGCCATGCTACGACAAGCTGTTTGCAAAGGTACCCCCCCTCAAGTTAATTGCAGTTCTGTGGGGCTTAACAGTACAGAGCTGCATCTGTTACATCTCAACCACAGACTCTGTCTCGGTTGATGGAGAGGTTGACGTGTGGTACCACCTGTCCTTTTTTATCATTTCTATGGAATACTCTTGAAGAGACTACACAATGGCAGGGTGGGCTGACGTAGCTCATACCTTATGTGGACCCACGAACAAAAGAGGTCCTCATAGTACAGGTTTTTGTGAAGTTTTTGAGGACTAAGCCGGGTCAGCACAGGGCTACCCCCTGTCTGGAAACATTGTTAGACTCAATTTGGGTTTAGGGTTATTTGCAGCAGAGGGAAGAGGAACAGTCAAGGCAACCAACAAAAGTCCAGCTTGAAAGAGTGCTCACACATACAAAATATTTTCACTAAGTTTTTCTTGAAATGAAAATAAAGGATAATTCATACTAAAAAGGCAATGTAAACGTGAGTGATGTTGCTAAATCAACCAGAGTAGTTTGTGTGCAGCTGGGGTCTGCATGCATGACTGCATATTTTTCTTTGGCAATGCAGAATTTGGTTGAAACTTTTTCATCCAGGGCAAGTTTGCTGATACACTGAATATTTTCCACTTCCTTTGGAAAATGAAATAAGATTCCATCTGCATGGTGGTTTTGTGGTTTAACTAGCGTATGTGACGCTCAAAGAGTTCAATGTACGGGTGAGGCATTGTAAAAGATCTGTTGACCTCTAAAATTCCTGGCACAGTGAAATTTACATCCCAAAGTGGTCATCCAGTGTTCTGATTCAGCTTCACCTCAGGAAAATAAGCACTCAGCAAAATTAGCATGGGAGGCTGGTTTTACTGTGCCACTCAAAGTAGTCAGTTTATCAACAGGCTGTGATTCCAAGTTCTTGTGCCAATGTTTTGGGTTTCATCTAACAAAGCTTCCTGTTCTCCGGGCCCATGCTCAACAGCATTGTGCTGTATTCAACTGTACCTGCGCATATTTGACTCAAAACTTGACTTGATCACAACTCTGAAAATTAGGAGAATACGGTGCGTGCTAGGGACATGTTTGTAGATGTCAGGATCAAACGTAATAAGGGAGTCATTTGTTTTTTCAAAGTAAATGACCTTTGCGTTTAGCTACATGTCCATGTTGCTTCATGTTTAAGTCAGACTACTAATAGAAGGCTGGATAGCTCAATTAATGGAACACTGATACGGTTGCCTTGATGTCCCAGTTTCCGATCTGGTAAATGTTTCCCCTTTTTTCACCACCAGTACTGTGGCACCTGCAATCAGAAGATTGAGGCCGACAGCAAGCGGCTGAACCACGAGAACAACTTCTGGCACGCTGACGCTGCCTGCTTCAAGTGCTCCTCCTGCGCCGTCTCACTTGTGGGCCGCTCCTTCCTGCCCAAGGATCGCAACATCTTCTGCTCTGTGCAGTGCAAACGAAAGTACTTCAACCAGTGAGGGAAGTAGGCGTGGCAGCTTTTACGCCAGTTGTCTCCAGAGAGCACTGTTTATAATTGTTGATCTTGATCTGGGGGTTTTATTTTATTTTTTATTTTTTGGGGTAGGTTTGAGGGGAGTTGTGTTTTCAAGTCTTCTTTCCTGTAACAACTCCCCTGCTGCTGACTTCATGTATTCCATAGTGTTTGAAAGTGGGATGAATCAAGGGCAAGCTGTTAAAACGTCGGCCTCAGCTTTGGGTTGCAGCATTGTTACTTGTGGTTCCCAGCTTGCTTAAGTTGGGCTCTTTATGGGGTACATTTAGTCACAAGGCCTGTGTGCAACCCTCACCTTTTTTGCCCCAGGGCTTTTTACTTTCCCAAAATAGCGCTGCACTGTCATTGCTGGATGTCAGAAAATACACAGAGACAAGGCTTTAAGTGGCATCCTGTTTGCAAATCTTTGTGCAGTGCATGCTGTTATTATCAGATAAAAACCTTCCCAGTTAAAGAGTACCGAAGTGTGACGTCATTGTGAACCAGAAAGTGCAATGCAAACGAATGGAGTACGTGCACGTGTTGGTTTGCGCACTGGTTCTCACCTTAATGCCTTTTACACACATTAATTGTGCGTGTGACGTATTCACTTTGGTACTCTGTAGGTGGCAACATCTGGGAAGTCATGTGCCAGCCATGGAAATGAAGTGAACAGACTTATATTTTGCTCCATTGTATCTAGTTACACTGCAATGCACTTTCTCCTTTCACTTTTGGAAGTATGCCTCAGACACGTGTGCATGAGATCCCCATTGTATCGCCCAAACGTGGAGCCCTCAAACTGATTTAGCCATTTTGGGCAGCTAGAGACTTCCCTCACTTCTACTTCCATTCAGATGGCACAGGAAACTCGACCCCACACATTTGTTACAGTTTTGATTTGCAGTCTCTTGCAGGCGCCACAGAGCTGTATATTGAGAGAGTTGTGCCAACGTCAAACTTGGGGAACCAAAATGGCTGTTCATTATGTATGCGGTACAGCATGCAGCAATTGTGTGCTAATTATCCATTTGCACCGACGCATAATTCACCATTTTGGTTCCAACAATTGAGACACTTATGTCGGAACTCTCTCTATAAACAGCTCTAACTTGCCAGTACCGGCGGCAAGTTGTCGTAAGCCAGTGACATGTCATCCAGGTCCCAAGTCATGTTGCAATGTTATTCAAATGAAGTGTGACAGAGGTATTCCTTCGTCAGTGTTCACCCACTTTGATCAGATTTGTTATTTGACCTGACGGGCAGTGTGTCTTTTTTACATGCTAATGTTACGGTACTCTATATTATGCAACAAAAATGGACAAGTAAGCTCATTATGTACATGCTATAAAGGAGGTCATTGTTACTAATGAGTTGTAAAAAGGTTTCCATTTTTTCATTTTGTAGTACATGTATTCTGCAGTTCTCTGTATGTGTGTGTGAACAAGTCAGTCATAGTTTATAGTGTGCCTTCATTGAAACCTGCTCATTCATGCTAGTCACTTGCCATGTGTTTCCATTCTTGTCACAGTTGGGGTTGGGGTTTTCACTATAATTATACCAGGCACGAAATGGGACAGAAGGGTGCCCCCCCCATAAGTCCAATCCCTATACACGCTCTAGACTATTGTTTCTTAACACATCCCCCTAGGTGTGTGAAAAGAATTCCTGAGATACCAGTGTAACAATGACCATCACAAAGGCGGGGGGTGCTCTCTGTCCCATAGTTTGCATCATATGTTTCACTAAGTAGGTCTCTGAGTTTTCCGTATTTTTAGCTTTGTCTCCATCTTAGGCCTCACCTGACATTCCCTGGCTTTCTAATTTTTAGTTTAAAAAAATCTCTTTTGGCAAGAGGACGTGTGGAATTGTATGTCATAACCTGAAGATGGAAGTGTTTTCATTTTGTGTGTGAATAATACACACCCACAACTAATTTGCAAATCAAAGACCAAGCCTGAGATAAAGACAAAAATGAGATTCAGAAAACCGTCATTTTCTCTCACAACACTTTGAGGATTAAGACATAAATCACCCTCTGTATGCTTGCGTTCTATATGTCTAGAAAAGCACTTTTGTGGCCTTTGTGCTTGAAGGCCCCCCTCAGCTTTCTGATAAAGTGTGTTTCAGAGACTCTTATTGGTCCTAGTCTGAGCTGTGTGTAGTTGGCAACATCTGATTGGACACAGCATGCACACTGTAAGATTCTTCATATTCAATAAAACGGTTGCTTCACCCAGTGGTTGTCAAACAGTCATAGGATGGACCATGCAGCGGCGTTCATTTCTGTTGAAACTATTTAATTGAGGAAGAGGTTTTTGTTTTGATCACTTCATATGAGCCAGTCACAAGTGCTGTCCGAAACCCACCAGTTTGACACTTACATTGTGCATATTTGATGGAAAGACATTTACTTTTTTCCCAAAATGAAATCGGGTTTGAATGTGAAATTCAATTTCAAATTCACACCACTGGATTTCATTTCATGTTTACAGTGTAATTTGTGATCACATTGTGCTACATATAATTCATTCTACGTCCATCTCATGTGGCCAGTGTTGTCATAAAAGCAAATTCATCTTATACAGTTGTCACTGAAATTCAGTGATTGGACATTTAAGTCAGTAAGCCTTTTGTGAGTTAAATTTGAATAAAATCTGATACACTGAGTTCTTTAAATTCACGTGAACATAATTTGAATTCTCCATACTAAAGACACTGTTGCTATACCTTGTGATTCAGGGCAAGCTTTTGCTCAGTAACACAAAGAGACAGCTTGCACAAGACACTATTTTCAATGGATAAGAAGGGCACAAAGGACCAGTCTTTTCCAGAGATGGTGGTTGCTATGAAAAAGCTTGCCCCAAATGACGAGGTATAGCAACAGTGATTTAGTCTAGGGAATTCAATTTGTTATGTTTATATGCAATCAGATAACGCAGTATACCAGATTTTATTCAAATTTAACTCGCAAGAGGCTTATTAGTGTATGTGAATATGTGTATGATAAAAATGTTGAATTAACTCGAAAGCCTGTATCTTTGTAGATCATTCCAAATAGACTGGATTGAAGACACAGTTTAATATATCGTGGCTAAAGTAGGTTTCCTGTGCAAAAACAATTATTTTGGTATAGAGATGATTGGTTTTACCATTGTGTAATGGGTACTTTTGTTTTGGCTTTTTGGGGTAGGATGTCATGTACATTGCGGTGTCATTCTTGAATGCATGTCGTTGTATGACACTCTAACTTAAATCCGTGTACCAAAGCAGTTTCTACTTTTACCACATGTAGAATTGTTGTAAACATTAATCAATTTGATCTCAGCAGTGCCTGTTAGGGGATAACCTGTAACTATTCACTGCAGTGAATGCCAAATGCTAATACACCCTGTTCAGTTGTTGCAAACCAATTGGATTCTTTTTGTGTGTGTGTGTTCCAGTGAATCACGGGCTTTCCTAATCTGACCAAATACAGCACATCTTGGTAAGAGTGGATGTGTTAGACTCCAAAACCTTTTTTTACCGTATATTAACTTTTTGAGGATGCAGTACCTCTGAAGTGATGAGAGACTTGAATCCTTGTTTCTTTGAACTGTTAAACTAAATGATTTATTTCACTTTCTGCTTGAATTTGAGAGGTCAAACCGTCATGGGCATATCTCATTGGTGGTTGCTCAAAGTTAGGCCAGATCACATTGAAAACCGTTGCTGATGACTGTTGATGTCATGATAACATGGGACCAAATTTAAGTCACAGGGTTTCCAAGTTGTTCTATGGGGGACAAGCCTAAGCCTGGCAAGTGCCACAGTTCTGTGTACAGAAAAAAATTAGAGAGCAGCATCAAAAGAGCAGGAAAATGCTGGAGAAGAGAAATCAGAATGCTCAGCTGGAAATGTGTTCTGGGGCAACTTTCGGAAGGGTCCTCTGCGCAGGTAATTTGGAGAACAAATCTGCTTTTTTTTTCTTGTGACCTGCTCTGCAAAAAAGAGTCTGAAGTCACTGGAGCCACTTTTGGAGTCTTACTTTGTATGAGATTGAGGAATTTGAGCTTTTTGGGTTTTTATGTGTTACCCAGTTTGGTGTGATGAAAGTGGATGTTGTGTAGATGTCAAAACGTTGAGGATTCCTATGCCATGAACACTGTGCAAGATTCTTTCAGAAACCCAACTCGGAAGTTACTCTGGTGGCATGTGACTCATATTTACATTTCGGGTCACATTTGGGTTGAGTTGAAAAAGCATTAATGAGCAATAAATGGAAAAGCTTTGGGGGAAAAATATTCCCAGTAAGTTTAATATCTATAGGACTTTCAGTTCAGAATTAAGCAAATGTTGGAATATGAAGCACCTTGTTTGTAAAGATTGTAAAACTTTTCAATTTTATAAGTAGGTAATCATTTTGCTGGAGATTTGCTTGTGCTGTTAATATTGTATGCAGATTGATCCCTAGAATCACCAGAAGTAGCCTTGTTATATACTTATTTATGCATTTTGGTGTAATGCAGACTAGGAAAATGAAGTACTGGTCACTTTCTAAAGCATCATGATGTAAATTTCTTATTTTGCTTGGTAAGTGCTTTGTAGTAACTGTGCTGTTTACAAGTCATGTTGTTGGTAGAATGGAAATCATGTTCTTTCTGTGCTTATGAAGGTTTGTGGCCCAGCTCAGCAGCCTGTGACCTCAAAGAGTGGTGCCATTGCTGAGGCCACTTACTCAATCGGTACTGTTTCCAAGCAGTCAGGGATAAAGACAAACTTGCGGCTGCTGAGATGGCTCCACTCTCCGTGGATAGCAAGGGAGGAGAATTTAACTCCAGGAAACAGTAAAACTTTATTTCATTTTGTATCGTTAATGGTCAATCTATTTTTCGGATGGTGGAAGGTCCATTCCTGATTTTGCACTTAGCTATAAGTGATTTAGATTTAGTATGTCATTGTACAAAATCAAAGCTTTTTGTGGTGTTTGGTGGTACATTTTTTAAACTCTGTGTCCAGAAGTTAAGACATATAATTGTTACTTTGATATGCTTTAATTCACAGTTTATCTAGAGTTTTATCTGTGATGTCGAAATGTTTTGATTAATATTCGAAATTAAGTCCCCTCTCCTCTAATAATTTTGGTTACCCTCTCTATTACCAGATTAATTGGACCCCCCCCTTCACACCACCACCACCACTACCAAAAAAATATTACAGTAATAATTGATATGTTCAGTTTTACGTGCAGAAATGATTTTTTGTGTGAATGAATAAACCAGAATTGAAGATATCGACAGTGGGATTGAAGAAAGTCTCATTACGGTGGGGGGAAATGAGCCTTAAGAGAGAAACAGAGACGTTTTCATTCAGAAGAAAAAAATTAGCTTCGAGAATGTTTTACTACACCACAGATAACGAAGAAATTAGTTTTTCTTTTTTGCATTTTGTACTTGAATACGAGGACTGAACCACAGGTAACAATTTCGTTTGATGTCATTGGTCAGTCTTTCATTCAGTTCTGTACCCAGCGGTACATATGTGTGCCCAAGTTCAGGTTGCATTGTTACATAACAGACGAACACATACTCATTCCATAGTTCCAATTTGTCTCCACAACGAAAATTAACCCAATCCCAACTTTCCTATCAAAAGAAATCGTCCCCACAATGAGATGGAGGCCCACCCACTGCTACCGTCTCCGGCACTGCGTTGTCCAGGATCCAACCTGGCAACTGCTCTTGTAGATCAACCTTGTCCTCGAGGGCAAAATTGGCATTTTTAAGCCCTAATTCCTCAAGTTCTCTTCCTGGAACAATTGTGTTGGCGATGCTGTTTTGGACACCACCTCTCCTGCATACAAAGTAAGAGCCCACCTTTTCTGTCAACATCCACTACAAAAATGTTACATAAAAACAGGGCTATGTAAAATGGCAGACCACCAAGGTTGCATGGGTAATTAGCAACTGATTCTGTGAGGAAAAAAAAGTAGAGGTGTCCTGTAAGTAAAGATTGGCCTTTCCTAAGTCTTTGAAGAATATTCCCTACAGAAGGAAAGCAAAGACATCCGTTCTGCTCATTGGAGGGACATCAAGGTCAAGTCCAACTAAAGTAGTTGTACTGAACACAAATTAAAAATACTTCAACAACGTGGTAGATTTGGGAATATAAGAGAGAAAGAGATGTGCTATAGACAGCACCACCAAACCCACCGCCCAAGCAAATTCTGTCCCCTGGGACTAACCGAGAACTACGAACGACAGTGGAGAATCAATGCTGTGGAACAGTGGCCTTGAAATTGTTTTATCCAATGCGAACAAAATCATGTTCGGTTGCACAACTTTTGGTGACTGGTTTAAATTGGTGTAATTCCCGGGGGTGGGGTTATATATCTGAATCATCCACTCACTACATGTGCAGTCTGCCTAATTTTTTTCACCATTACATATGGTGAAAAAATAGGTAGACTGCGAAGAACTTTTTCTGACTTGCCAACAACTAAAATGTATTCAATAGCAACAGCCCCGTCGCCAGCTTCAAGCATTCAGGAGGCCACAGTATCAACTAGGTGGGCCACATCACAAAAACGAACAATATAGCACACAGATTATTCACATATTCAGGATTTTGATGTTAGTTGCTCATTTAGAGATTGTTTAAAGATATTTTTATGCTTGTGCTTTTTTCTGATGGGGGGGGCTTGCAGCTTCCCGCTGGGGGTGCCCTAAAGTCCTCAAAGACAATGTTTATGAACTGAGTGGATTTGATGCACTTTAATAATAAGGGGGCAAAACCATTTTCTTACTGAATTAATTGCTTCAGTTATTTCCTTTGTCTTGATTTTATTTTTAACAGACCCCCTCCCGTGTTTTTAATAACACATAAAGTTTTTTTAAAGCAGGCTACAGAAGCGCCTGCACTTTAACTGAGCCTTGCACGTTATTGCACCAGCGCGCCCTCTGTTGGCGAATTGTATTTGTAAGTTGACCGTGTGCTCCTCATTTAGGGGTGCACCACTACAAATAAATTCCCATAGACA